ATCGAAATCTAAACCGATTTCATCGAAACTTGTCACATGATAGGTTACACTTATATCAGTATGTTTTGAGCATTCGGCACTATTTTGAGTTCTTCACTTACTTATAAATCCAAACTTCGTGCAAATCGAAGGATATATAGAGACTTTGGTGCACCATTTACATAAAATTGGACGAAAATATATATTGGAACTACATCTAAATCTAAACCGATTTTCACGAAATTTAACACACCTCTTTCTAGACTTAATTCAGTACGCTGTGCCAAATTTCGTGCAAATCGAAGGATATATAGGGACTTTTGTGCACCATTTACCTAAAATCGGACGAGAATATATATGGGAGCTATATCTAAATCTGCACCGACTTTCACGAAATTTTAGCACGCATCATTCTAGACCTTATTGAGTAGGCTATACCAAATTTCGTGCAAATCGAAAGGTATATAGGGACTTTGTCACACAATTTACATAAAATCGGACGAAAATATATATGGGAGCTATATCTAACTCTGAACCGATTTTCACGAAAATTGGCACATATCATTCTAGACCTAGTTCAGTAGGCTGTACCAAATTTCGTGCAAATCGGAAGATATTAAGGGACTTGGGTACCTCAGTTACTTAAAATCGGGCGAAACTATATATGGGAGCTATATCTAAATCTGAATCGATTTTTACGAAACTTGACACACATCATTCTAGACCTAGTTTAGTAGGCTGTACTAAATTTTGTGCAAATCGAAAGATATTTAGAGACTTCGGTACCTCATTTACCTTAAATGGGACGAAAATATATATGGGAGCTATATCTAAATCTGAACCGATTTTTCCCAATTTCAATACGGTTCGTCCTTGGGCCAAATAAAGGAGCTGTGCCAAATTTCATCCAATTCGGATCATAAATGCGACCTGTACTTTGTTTACAATTTAACATGGACAGACGGACGGACGGACATGCATAAATCGACTTAGAAAGTGATTCTATGCATATTCTCAAATTTGCCTGTTACAAACATATGCACAAAGACATAATACCATGTACCACAGTGTGGTGAAGGGTATAAAAACCTCCAATAAGGTATCTGCATATTGAACGCTTAGTCAAAACATAGACCAATACAGAATAGGTAAAAGCTGTACTTTTTCACTAGAGGATGTCGGAAACCCATTAATAGAATAAAGTAGAATATCGGGCCTACCTTAGATAAGAGTGACCGCTATATAATACTTTTAATTTGTGGGTATTTGGGAAGGTTTTCTATATTCATGAATATTTATATTTTTTTGTATAAAATGACCTATGTTTGTAACCGCTCAAAATACAAAATTACTAAATGGCTTCTTTATGTACCATAATTTCAAGCAATTACTATTGATTTTTTCGACGCCATTAAGATATCTAAATGCCGTTGCAAACAGCTACACATTTGTATTGTAAAATATATGAGACACATTAGGTGTTCCATCTAAATGTGTAGTAAGTATAATAATACACCTTTAGAGACTAATTACACCGGCGATTATCTATTTTTAATGTGTTTTTTCTTCATTATAATGACCGTTTACCCCCAACATTTACACTTAAATGCTTGGAGCTTTTATTCCAATTTCTAGGTGGCATTCTACCAACAATTTCCCATTACATTCAGATATATTCATATGAAGCACGAAGAATAGAACTAGAAACACACAAAAATACTTGTTGAAGCAACACACCATTGTAAGTCAAAATCCGGACAGCGTACATCGGTATAAGGGTGTACTATGCGCCCATGTATCCGACAATTACAATTGTGTGTAATTAAAACAATAAACATGGCGCTCAACAAACATTGTTTTCTGTGCCACAGAACAGACAGTTGCAACTAAAATAGAGCTATACAAAAGATTCATATAGTTTCGTGTGTCGGAAACTAAAATAACTATGGGAAGTCAGGAGATCATTTTTATTGTTGGTACAACTGTAGTTGTGTGTTCCGGCTACTATTGTACCAAAAACAAAACGGCAAACGGAAATGAGCATTTTGAGCTACTGCCTTTTACTGTTTCCTTAATGGCTACAATGTTATGTAAACATGCCAGATAACTGGCATGCATGCAGTTATCTAGGATGTTCTAAGGGTATATTGTTGATAATATCAAATAGGTAACTAATTATTTTAAAGTAAAGAAAAACTGATTAATATTGTAACATCTGTATGAGAAAAGAATTGTGATATATGAAAAAATAAGAAGAAACGACCTGTTGAACTTATAGCATTCTTCAACATAATAACTACACTGTGCAACACAACAAATAATTACCGTAAAAATTCTACGCGTGTCGGGAGGTAACCTAAAAACTGGGTGCAGGGTTCACAAATCTAAAAAATTCTTACTGCCAAGCGTTTTACCTCAAATGAAGATGCAATAACAGTTGTAAACCACCATTTTGAAGACCTTGAGTAAAACTATTTTAATCAAGGGTAAAATTGCAAGAAAAGCCTTGGACTGAGTGTATTGAAGTTTCAGGAGATTAACAAATAACGCAAAAACATAGTTCGCATAAAATGATCCCGACCGATTTAGAAAATGCATGGACTCCTACGGATATTCCGATTGTCCAACTGACAGGACGGTTTTCATAATAGTTCGGAAATATAAATCGATGTATGTAGTATCTAAAACCATTTTTTAATTTACAAAATTCTTATCATGCCGTTTGTACATATAACCAGTAAGGAAAGCAGTAAAGTCGGACGGGGCCGACTATATGATACCCTTCACCACTTTGGGTATATTCAACAGATGGAATCCTAACAGACGTCGCATTTTTGACGGACCATTAACATGAAATTAAACAAGTCACTCTGCAACCTATACTAAATTTTGGTCAGATATAAAGTTGCTTCTTACAATGGGACAAAATTATGCGAATAAATTTAAAGCAAAATATCGAAATCTACACCGAATTCATCGAAACTTGTCCCATGTTATGTTACACTTATTTCAGTATGTTTTGTGCATTCGGCCACATTCTGAATTCTTCATTTAATTATAAATTCAAATTTCGTGCAAATCGAAGGATATATAGGGACTTTGGTGCACCATTTACATCAAATCGTACGAAAATATATATGGGAGCTATATCTAAATATGAACAGATTATCACGAAATTTAAAACAAATCTTTTTAGACTTAATTCAGTACGCTATGCCAAATTTCGTGCAAATCGAATGATTTTCAGAGACTTTGGTGCACCATTTACCTAAAAATTTATCTAAATCTGAACCGATTTTTACGAAATTTAACACACATCTTTCAAGACATATTTCAGAAAACTAGGACAAATTTTGTGCAAATCGAAGAATATGTAGGGAGTTTCGTGCATCACATCATTCTAGACTTAATACAATACGCTATGCCGTAATTCGTGCAAATAGAATGATTTTCAGGGACTTTGGTGCATCATTTACCTAAAATCGGGCGAAACTATATATGGGAGGTATATCTAAATCTGAACCGATTTTCACGAAACTTAGGACACATCCTTCTAGACCTAATTGAGTAGGCTATACCAAATTTCGTGCAAATCGAAAGATATATAGGGACTTTGGTACACCATTTACCTAAAATCGGGCGAAACTATATATGGGACCTATATCTAAATCTGAACCGATTTTTACGAAACTTAGCACACATCCATCTTACGAAACTTAGCACACGCCATTCTAGACCTATTTCAGTAGGCTATAGCAAATTTTGTGCAAATCGAAAGACATATAGCGACTTTGGTACACCATTTACCTTAAATAGGACGAAAATATATATGGGAGCTATATCTAAATCTGAACAGATTTTCACGAAACTTAGCACACGTCATTCCAGACTTAACTCTATACGATATGCCAAAATTCGTGTAAATCAAATGCTTTTCAGGGACTTTGGTGCACCATTTACCTAAAATCGGGCGAAACTATATATGGGAGCTATATCTAAATCTGAACCGATTGTCACGAAACTTGGCACACATCATTCTACACCTAATTCAGTAGGCTATAGCAAATTTCGTGCAAATCGAATGATATTTAGGGACTTTGGTACCCCATTTACCTTAAATCGGACGAAAATATATATGGGAGCTATATCTAAATCTGGACCGATTTTTCCCAATTTCAATAGGGTTCGTCCTTGGGCCAAACAAATGAACTGTGCCAAATTTCATCCAATTCGGATCATGCGACCTGTACTTTGTTTAGAATTTAACATGGACAGACGGAGGGACATGCATAAATCGACTCAGAAAGTGATTCTATGCATATTCTCAAAAGGAACCATTCGTCTATCTCGATTATATTTGCCTGTTACAAATATATGCACAAAGACATAATACCCTGTACCACAGTGTGGTGAAGGGTATAAAAAGTAATGTAGTGTAATGTGCAATCCCAAGCAGAAAACCAGTAACCTCAAGTACACATTCTGACACAATTTTGTGTAACATGCTTCTCTTTGTAACCCGTTTTTATTTCCAATACAATCAATGGAATATATATGTACTCTAAATTTCAATTGGAGAGGAAATGTTTCAATTGCTACTGATGTGGATGAAAATATGAATTGAACTTTTCGATTCTACGAATCACTTAACCAATTTACTGATATCTCAATTTGGACTGTACACATGTCTGATGTAAACGTATAGATTTAGTGACTATCAAAATTACATCGAGCAACATATTTTATTGATACTAAAATATTTACATTTTTAAATACATTTCATGTCATGCCATTGAAAGCCTGTTTGAAAAATTATTAAGTACAGTTACTAATTGAATGAAAATTTACCTAATTAGAAACAAATCATTTAATATGGTCGAATGATTGTCGTCAAGAATTCCAATGCTAAAATAGTCCACATTATTTTTAGGTATTTGATATTATTAAATGCACCAATATCAAATTTACTATGAATATGCATACATATATGCATACATACAATTAACATTTCTCTTACTTACCATTTACCAAAAGTTCACTGCTACTGTTGACCAAATTGTCCATTATTGGTTGGAATGTGTAGAAGGTTAGAGTTTCCAATTTGTTGCTTTGAACATTCAGTGACAGCAGGGCTGTTGTGCCACGCAATAGGCCATTATCGATTTTCTTGAGAAGGTTATTACGTAAATTTAAGGTTTTCAAATTATTCAAACCATCAAGGGCACGTTCTGATATACGCTGGAAACGAGAAAATGAAAGGAGGTAAATTAAAAGTCTTTTTTTTATTTTTAATGATAGAAATTCACGAAAATTACCCCACAATATTTTATTAGCAGAGAAAGTCTATTTAGTGAGGTGAATGTAAATGATGCCCAGCCCACTATCTAAAAATGGATTGACATGTAAATGGCTTAAAATCATGTAAATACATAATTAACTTTCATGTGTATTCCATATGTTGTCATTTTCAACGAGAAAACAATATATTGGTGTTAATGGAAACATAACATTCAAAGTGGGGGAAAACAACCGTCCACCTATCGAAACATAAACACACCTGTTAAAGCTCCCATAATTACGTTGGGATTATTTTGTGATTCGATAAATGACAGTGACTATGGACTTATTATCACTGATGCATGACATAATCTCACTAATGTAAATAGGAAGTATGTATTTATTTGAAATAAGTATGATTTGGAAATACAATCCTCGAAACACTTCTCAAATGTGATTCTATATAGTTTATACCAAAAATCCCATTTCCGATGAAGTTTGGCCTGAGACTTGTGGCCAATGTGGAAATATGCACTTTGTTACGGCAAAATGTGTCTCATAGAAATATTGGTTTTATATCCTACGTTTCTTTGGACCAAATCCCTTTCAGACAATTTGGAATCGATTTAAAAATATCCGCATGTCTGCGTCCGTCGGAGTTTTAACCGATTTCATCCAAACTTTGCACATCGTAACATTTTTTCCAAACCATAGACAAGATAGAAGATGAAGGATATCAATCCGCTCCTGCTGATACTTCCACCATAAAATGGTCAACATCCTGCTGAATGGGCTATTCGATTTGTCTGTATGATAATATTATACAGACATGGTTAGATCCGCTCCTTATAGTACTTCCCCAATAAAGAGTCAACTACTTCAACTGTTTCACTGAAACCATGGTACAATTATAAAAGGTAGCAGCAAAACCCAGCTGATTTGATTCCAACGTAATACTAGTGTCAATATGAATATGAGAAATTATGTTTTTAAAAATCACCCAGCAGAAGAAAATTGAGCACGCATACAATTCGAAATTGTTCTTTATTAAATGTCCTTCTGTATTCAATTTACCCAAACTACCTGCTGGGAAAGTTTGAGGAAGCAAATCTTCCTTCATGGAATAACTCGCGATTCTCAGCATTTTCTTATGTTTTACACATATAAGTGAGAGTGGCTCAATTATAGGAAAGATCTGGAAGTGATAGAAATATAAATTTGATAGATTTTCATTCATGCTTTTCAATTTTATTTTGAGGATTCGAAAATATAACATTTTCAAAATAAATATAATTTGTGTGTTTACATTTTTCTGTCAAATGACGTCGACACTAGTATAATTCACAACAACAAATTTCCATGAGGTTGTTGTATAGTTTGTTGTACAACAACACTTGCTATTACCTTCTATTATTACCATGCACTGAGACTTTGAAACTTTTTTTTTTTTGATAATTATCGGGAAATTCTAACAAATTATGAAGAAGGTACTTTGAACGTTTACGTCGTAATGTAACCTTAAAAGGCGTGGCAATAATTCGCATTGCCAAGACATTTAAATATATTCGGATTAGGATTTCTCGAAATTCTAACCTTTAAAATATAAGGTTGGGGAAAAAACGAAATCCATTTTTTGTGTAAATTGTATAAAAAACAGAATTAGGCGATTTTATGACTCAAAAATCACTCAAAAAATTAAGTTTTCGGTCCATTTCATCCCAAAATTTTAATCTGATTATCACCAAAAATTGTAGTCGTTATCCTTGACCATAACTGGAACTTCATGGAAAATTTCAAATCGATCAGCGCCTCTAACCTTAATGTGTGGGTTCTAAATAATATCTGAATACGTAAGCATCTGTAAATATTTGAGTGTAACTCCCACATCTGAATAGATACATCAATATATTTGGTATCAATTTAAAGACCAACGACTCCTCTCGGATATACTATCAATTCCTCGGGACTATATCCTTCAGGAGTAAATATATACGCCCCTGCCATTTGACCCGCAAAATATTGACGATCTTTACCAAAACAGTAATCCTTATTCTTTGGCCCGACCTCCTTCTCCATGTAAAATTTTGCGATGATCGGCCATAATTACGATCTCTGAAGCGACAAGAAAAACCGACAAAAATTAAGTATTTGGTCCATCTCATCCCCTAATATTAACCGATCTTTTCCAAAAACAATTGGGGTCTTCGATGGCCAGAACCCATCCTACATGCAAAATTTTGTGTAGATTGGTCCATAACTGTGGCCTGTATCGTGTTTACAAATTATTATGCTAGTAATGCTAGTCGTTACAAACTCTTGGAGCTGCACAAAGCTATAATACCCTGACAACATAGTTGTGTAGGTATAAATATGTTTCATCAGAAGTTTTGAAACATCATCTGTATAACGATGCCACACTTTAAAGGTTAGAACTTTCCTTAAGCATAATTTTCAGTATGGGTCTACTATTCTTATGTTCGTACAAATGAATATCAATTACGTGTAACTACTGAGCCTCCATTTAAGAGTCATCCTCATATTGACATATTCTAATATGCTTCTGTTACGACAATTTGAAGGGTATCAAATGGTCTGCACTAATAGGGATAACTTCTAAATTTTATATCATTTGTTACACTTCACTTCACGTCATGCCTATGCCATTCCTAATCATCCTCGCATATCAATATCCCATTTTCTTTACTCCGATAAAATTCGGATTTTTTTTGTCTCTTGTATGTGTAGGGAGTGCGTTGACGTTACGATGAACCTGAGAAACCCCCACATAAAAGCACGGAATAAGAATATTCGTTTTTTTTCTTTTTTTTCAACTTATTTGTTTTCATTCTGTTAAGCCGTCACTTGGAAAGGACCAATGACAATATTTGTTCTTATCTGCGGTTATAGTATATGCTTACACAAAATCCTCTTTATCCAGAAAGGAAAAACTCCGTAAACTAAATAAAGTGAGAGATATTTTCTCATGCAATTGGGATAATGACATGTTGTTTTAAGTTTATTTAAATTACGATTAAATATATCGAACTCCAGAAAAAAATAACCCAATACCATTGTTGACCCTCCTCCATGCTTACCAGCACGCCTGCAATACTGTGACGTGAGCGTTTCATTTTTGGACCTTCTCATGGTCATGCCTTTAATATTTAACTTTAATTCATTCGAGAGCATAATATTTCTCTGCTGTGTCGGATTCCAATTAATATGGGCTTTTGCGAAAGGCAATTCCGATTCTTTTCAGAAATTGAAGAACTTTCTTGATAGTTTCCTGGTATGTAGGCCTGCGACAATAGCTCGTCCAAGCTTTGTTCTTAAGGTTATATCCCAAGATAAACGTCTCTCCAATTTCGTTGAACTCTTAAATGGGTATTTGTTTACTGCTATGACATTTTAGTGATCTGTACAAACTAATGATCTTTTGCAGCCTTCCTTCGTGCTGAACTTTCTCTACTGATAAAGTTGCATAAGATCGACTAATAATTCGAGATATCACCTATTTATTCGTGGAATATTTTATCCAAAATAATTTTCTGCGATAAAATCACTGGAAATTAGCTGTTTTATCGGTGTACTGTATCTGCTTCTAGCGATTTTTATACCCTCCACCATAGTATGGAGGGTATATTAGTTTTGTTTTTCCGGTTGTAACGCATCGAAATAATCATTTCCGACCATATAAAGTATATATATTCTTGATCAGCATGTCCGTCTGTCTGTTGTAATCACTCTAGCGTCTAAACGAATTGAGATAGAACGCCAAAATTTTGCATAGAGTCTTTTGTCTGCAGGCAGGTCAAGTTCGAAGATGGGCTATATCGGTCCACGTTTAGGCATACCTCTCATATAAGGGTACCCCCAATTTTCAGTATTTTGGGGTTCTTGAACGTGTTTTTCAACCAAATTCGCTGAAATTTGGTAAAATGGGCTCTTTTTGGATACCAAATTTCTCAACTAAAAATTATAATTTTAGGTCCACTTCTTCTGGTAGCCCCCACATAACGGTATCGCCCAATTTCCAGTTTGGGGGGGGGGGGGTGGGTGGTTTGACCGCATTTTTTCACCGAATTGGAGTTCTTTTTCGGTATAAAATTTCTCTACAAAAAAATTATAAATATTGGCCCATTTTTTTCGGGTAGACCTCGGAGTACCTTTATACCCCCGATTTTCGGTATTTTGGGGTTCTTGAGCTCGTTTTTCAACCCAATTCGCTGAAATTTGGTACTTTGAGTTCTTATTGCGTATCAAATATCTCCACAAAAAATTATAAATATAGGTCCGTTTTTTTCGGATAGCCCCCATATAAGGGTACCCCCAATTTTCGGTGTTTTGAGGTTCTTGAGCGCGTTTTTCAATCGAATTTGCTGCAATTTGGTATTTTGAAGTCGTATATGGTAACAAATCTCCCTACCAAAAATTTTTATATTCGCCCCCTTTTTGGAGCCGTCCCCATATAACCCCTATTTATATTAAAATAGTTATCTGATTTGTTCCGTGTTTTGAGTTTGGTTAATTCATTAAATTCATTAAAAAATTCTAAAATTTGTATTATATGCGTTTTTAGAAATGTCGGTATAGGTCCACTGTTTGGTATGTTCCCTATATTTTTAATTTCTAGTACCTGTCAGTGTATCTATGGTGGAGGGTATCCAAAGTTCGGCCCGGCCAAACTTAACGCATTTTCACTTGTTATATTTTTTTTGGTGGTCAAATTTGAAAACAAGACATATGTAAAAAAATCCATTTAAAAATTAACTATAATAAACGAAACATTTTTAAAAACCAATACATAGTGATTATAACGGTTAAAATAACTAAAATGTTAGAGCACATCTGTTTGTACTGTAGAGTTGCTTTAGTTTTGTCCAAAGTAAAAAACATTTTTCCAACTAAATAATTTCAAAGTGGTTCCAGTGTGTCCTATATTTATATGTATGTGTATGGGC